CCCATAGACATCTACATCTATCCTCGATTACGAATCAAAATGCAGATGCGTTGTCACCCGTGAGGACTAAGATGGAATGCCTCGTTTCCAGTAAAAAGGGTCTCCGGTGCTCTACAATTACCATACGAAATACAGCAACATTAAGCTACTATTTCACGCTGGTATTCTGTGAGAGCGTGGTCCTTCCCCGGTCGAGCCGACCCATTCGTGCTACAACTATACTACTAATATAACTGCAGCATGGCTCTACCACGTATAAAAATAACTGCTTCAAACCCGAGCCAGCAAATCGCGTTCACATCTCACAGAAATGTCAGCAGTTAGCATCAGGCTGTCTGCATCGGAATTTTAGAGAAGGGGACACAATTCGGTACCGTAACTATGGCGCGGGAAGGAAATGGTTAGAGGGAAAAATTCAGTGTACGTTGGGTAATACGGATTACGCAGACCAGTTAAGACACGCATTTAATGTTGCTTTGAATGACACGCCCATACATAGTGAGAAATGCATGCGCAGTTCATTTAACCCATTTCTAGACGCAATGTCCAAGCAGAGCGACCAGGCGAAGTCTCGGAGCAGTCAACAGGCTCGATGGAGGAGGGTGCCGGAGTCCAGCTGGGCACGACAACGCCAGATATTAATAATACCATACAACCACAAAGTTGTACGCTTGGACTGACACGCCGCTATCCCGTAAGAAATAGTAAAGTAAAGTAAAGTTACAGCCTATATACGTCACACTGCTGGGCACAGGCCTCCCCTCATTTCTGAGGATTTTAGGGCAATGAAGTGTCCGCCGCGCTGCCCCAATGCGTATTGGCGAACTTCACATGTCTTCAAAATATTTTTTTCTTATTCCTCAGACATGCAGGTTTCCTCACGATGTTTTCCTTCACCGCTGAGCACGTGGTAAATCAGCACTTAAAATTGCAATTAACAATTTCATTGGTGCCGGCGGGGATCGAACCCGGGTTACACGCGTTCTGTTATATTTACAGCGAGCGTTAACCATCTGAGCTACCACGGCTCTTAAGTACTATGATGATGACGGAAAATATGATGCGATTAACGAAGCAGATACAAGGAACTAAATTAGATAATCTGCTGAGAATAACGTAGCGAGTAGTTAAAGTCGCATGAAAGTTTAATACGATAGGAATCGAGCACCAACAAAGCTTTCCAATTTAGGTGATCTCGTTATGATCCCAAATCACCATAACCCAGCCAATGTCAAAAGCAAATAATAGTATCCGAAGTTTAGAGGCCCCTTTAAAATTTCCATTGTACTCAAGAACGATTGTTATGAGATATCGAGCATCGTGGGGATTTAAAAACGCAATTATAAAAGTATTTACCCCGCGGACCAACTTAAGCGGTGGATAACTTTTGATTCGGCTAAAGCGGAAAATGACGATGCTTCAGCGAAGATCACAGATCGGAATAGCGAAGACATGAACCTTAAATAATTCCTCTGATTAAGTTAAAGCTTTGCTTAATTTAGCCAAAATGTGATTTTGATTCTTTATCTTAATCGGAAATTAGTGTAACCTTTCCCCTAATCCTTCTACGCTAAATGTCCTTTTTTAGATGTATTTCAGATTTAAGAGTGTGTCTAACCCTTAAGGTAAAGGAAATCATAAGACTCAATTAATAAAATTAAACAAAGGTGAAGGATGCTGAACTTCAGTCGGCACCAACGATAAAGTAGATGATGCCGAAGTTCAAGTGGTACTCACTGTGATATGAAGGATGCTTCGCGTACGCGTACGAAATAATTTTGCTTGTCGTTTGGAACGCTAAACTTTGTGACCCGGGTGGAGATCGCGTTCGATTATAGTTTGTACTAAATGACGTTAGACTTGAGTTCCGATAGCGGTGAACGCCCACTGGAGTGATTGCACCTTGTGGAGCGGGGCAACGCATGTGGTTCTGCTGAACGATTACATCGACGATGTCAGGTTACATTACACAACTTCCTACACCACTCACACCTAACATTTACTTGCCCCTGACGGTACCTGGTGGTCGACCCTACTTCCGGAACTTGGTAAGTTTGTGTTTGCTTATACAGCCGTTATAAATTAATTATCCATAGGCCATTGGGCCCTAACCCTCGGTTGCTCGTCAAGTTGGGTTACTATGGGCCCTAGCCCAGTCGACTTTTGTCGGGGCAACTGAGGGCCGTAACAGTCTCTCTATTGCAAAGTTTAAATGTTTTATAAAATAAAACTGTTTAAAAAAGGTTATAATAATATAAATGAACACATGGTTGATAATAACCCCTAAGAATGAGGTGGTCGCTTCCAAGCTGTTCCTAAAAAAAATTTGTTGTTTTTTTTATATAGGAGACGGGACAAACGAGCATACGGCTCACCTGATGAAAAGTAACTTCCGTACCGCCTCCCACGAACAACAACACCAGAGGAACTGTAGGTGCGCTGCCGGATTTTATGGAAAAGAGTAAGCTCTATTCTTGAGATCCCTAAGTCGCATCAGTCCGGAAAAATCGCCGGTGGTAAACTATTCCACAAAGTCATACGCGGAAGAAAACTTCTAGTGAAACATATATTGGTGAAGCGGCAAGCATCCAGATGGTGTGGATTGTATCGGGAGTTTTGCCGCGATGTGTGTTCATGAAATTTGGCGGCTAGGATTAATCTGAACAATTGTTCTCCCGTACTTAGAGCACTCCCCGTGGTAGATGATGAAAGGACTCGGCCGTCGACGATTAGAGGCGCTCGCTGAATGCGGTCAATTGGAAGGAGCTGGCACTGAGGAGCCCCAACTAAGAGATGAGAACAGTATTCCATGTGAGGCCGAACCTACACGTTGCTGCAGGCGGTGCACCGGCATGAAATACTGTCATGCACCGTCTACTACGACCTTGATGCTCTGATTTGCAATAAAGCTGGTGATCCAATTATACAATTTCTTGGGAAGCCCAAAGAAAGGGAGCTTCGAAAGAAGCACTTTGTGCCAAACCTGATCAAAGGCTTACTCATAAAACTGATACTGTTAAATACCTAGGCGTCATTTTAGATTGTTAAATAGACTGGTTTGGTCATGTAGATCTGCAAGCCTCTAGAATAAGGAAGCTTATTTGAGCGTTTAAACATTGAAGGTATGTGGCTGATTTTGATACACCTCGCACAGTTTGGGGTGGCACGTGCAAAACCAACATTCTGCGATTTGAAAGAGTGCAACGTTCATTGCTTAAAACAATTACCTTTAAGCTATATAGATTCCCAACTAGAACTCTATAGTAATTGTCAAGTTCTTACTGTTCGGCAATTATACATTTTACAACTTATAAGCAGACAACGTCTTGCTATTGCGTACGAAAAAACAAAGTAGAAGGAAAACGTACAATAAGTTAATGTATTAACTCCAACTGCTTTCCGCACGTCCTTTGACAGGCGCCAACATGGGTTTTCTTAGTGTAGGTACATTTGTATAACAAAATAAACAAAATTCTTAACTTTTATCCTTCTTCTCTAAACGAATTTAAAAACGAGATATAAAAATGGCTTTTAACATTAAATTATGAAGAAACAGGCGGCTATTTAATGTTTTAACGAGATGTAGATTTATTGAATAAAACTATTATTTACGGATTTTATCGCGTTTAATTACGTTTCGGGTGCTTTACAGCACCCATGGTCACGGGAGGGGGGGGACTGAGATGTTTGACGTCCCAATGTCATAGTCCGGCTACCTTCAGTTTTTGAATATTAATTTTTGGTCCGATTTACGCAAAACGAGCTTATAGTATCATGAAGTCTTGCGGTGGTATGCTTGGGTTTGGGTATAATTTTGTTAATTATAGGATCCCAAGCAGCTGGCAGCACCCATCCATCTTCTCTATTGAAATTTGGATGTTTTTTTAATTTCAATAGCCTCGCGTATCATCCTTGGTAGGAATCGGTGTTCTTTTGCGAGGATTTGTGGTTTATCAAATCGAATGTAATGGTGGGGGCGATCTTCAACATGTTCGCAGACTGCAGACTTCCCGGAGCTCCGGGAGACTTGAACATGTTCACAGACTGCAGACTTCACGGAGCTCAAACATCTCAGTCCCCCCCCCCGTGACCATGGGTGCTGTAAAGCACCCGAACAGGACGTCAGGATAATAAAAATAAATTAAAGTAATTAAACGCGATAAAATCCGCAAATAATAGTTTTATTCATGTGTAGTGTTCGAAAGTTAAGAAATCATTACGAGATGTAGATTTATCTAAAACTTATATATTACTCACTAACAAATACACACATTAAGTAGTAAGTTCAACTATCCTTATTCTGTTTGAAACATTAATATTGTTAATTGGAAACTTTATTGTTAAGTTATTAGGTCATAAAATTGGGAGAGGGCGCTGATTGCTGAGATACAGGTATAATTCCTATTTATTCTATAATTAGTAGTTAGTTACCAATAAAGATTATTATTATTATTAAAGGCTTTCGCAATGTACAAACTAATTGCCAACGCCTCCTCCTTGGACTTCACTGCCTCCGCCCTCCGTCTTGTATGAATCAGGTAGACCAGAAGACCACCAGCTGATCGAACCCGACAAAAACAGTATTGGCGGTCACTAACTAGCTGGTGATCTTCAAGGTACCGCATGGGCTGGCTTTTTAGTTTATAACTGTAACGACTCACATTGTAAATTTTATTTTAAAATAAAATTCTCGCTGGGTGTTTGCTGATTCTTCCCAGGACAGAGGCTTTCTGGGAACCAAAAAGTGATAAAAATACGCTTGCAATAAAAATTAATTGAATATAATATTTTTAATGTTTTTAATTTAATTTTCTATTTTATTCCAAAAATATTAAATAAGATAACTCATAACATAACAGAATAAGATAATATTATTATAAAACAATAGTATTACCTTATTCTATATAATATAATTTATTGCTACAACTTTGTAAGAATAAAACTTTTATTTACATTTGCGTTTGTAATTTATAAATAGTCAATGTTAACAGTTGCAGGTTTTAATTTTGTTCCGGGTCCTGTTGTTGGTTCGGCTCGGTGTCTTGTGCAGAGTCGTGTTCTCGCTGCTGATCGGAGTGTTGGGCCGCACGGTGCGTTTGGTGTGGCAGCAGTGGCGGCGTTGGCAGTGGCTGCAGCTCGTGTGGCAGCGCGTGCAGGCGCAGCAACGCGTCGAGCAGCGCGTCGGCGAGCGCGGCCGCCTCGCCGCCACACCACGCCGCGCCGCGCACGTACAGCCACTGCACGCCACACGCACCTCCTTCCATAACTCATATCATAGCACTTTACCTATCAAATTGCCATTCTGCAGTACTGGCTATTTCGAATCAAGGACATTTTTGTTTGGCTAAGAATTCTAATTTCAAATTTATTTCATTTTAAAAACATGGATTTGTTTTTCAAATATAGTCATTTCTTTATTGATTGGAGTTGTTTTCATCGCATTTGAGTCTTTTTCGTCATAGTGTAAAAAATCCAGTAATTGAAGTATGAGTACCATCGTGGCAACGACGCGGCACAAGCGGCACGCAACATCAAGAAACGTTTATGGAGCGAAATACTACAAACGAACCAACTAGCTGTTATTGGTTTGCCCGCTTCCGTTCTGGAAATTTTTACCCGTAAAATGAACCCCGTCCGAAAATCGTCTGAAAATTGGTCGACAAGGACGGATTAAAGAAAAATGTAGAAGTTAATGAAACTCAATTTACGACTAGTGGTCCATTTGCGTCAAATTGGCAAAGTAAAAAAGCTTGACAAATGTGTGCCCCAAGAACTCCATGATCGACAGCGCGAAGTACACGTCGAGACGTGCCTTGCACTGCTCAAAATGCACACAAACGAACGAAGTTTGTACCGCAATGTTACCTGCGACAAAAAGTGGACTAACTCTGTTTGACACTCGCAAGCGTTCTGCAAGTTGGTTGGATTCTGGTTTAGCACCAGTGTGGTGGTGTATGTATGGTAGCACCGCTCTGATTCATTACAACTTCTTACCAAATGGGATAAGCATTACTGCAGATGTATACTGCGAAGAACTAAAGACAAAAAGCTCGCACGTCTCGAAACAGCTTTATTCAATCGCTCGTCCCAGCAGCTTCTGCACGACGATGCACGAACTCGTACTCCACAACAGACGGTCTCCAAGTTACAAGAGCTGGAGTTGAAAGCTTTCCGTCATCCGCCGTACTCACCAGACCTTGCAACTACATACTTCTACTTATTCCAGAATTTATATAACTTTTTGGCGGGAAAAAATATCAATACCTGAGAGGCAAAATACCTACGAAGAATTTCTTGCATCCCATCCAGCTGATTTATTCAAGAAAGGCATCAATAAAGTGCCATTGCGTTGGCAAAGGTGCACCAATTGCATGGGTTTGGTTGATACCACTTTGGTTAATAGATATAAAAATATAGAAAAAAATTACGTCAAGTTATTTCATAAAAAACGACGATTTATTACGTAAAGAATTAATATAATATAAATATATACATATAATAAATATAATACTGGAAATTCTAACGGAAACCAAGTATACTTAGTAATATTAGTGTTTACGCCAACTCGTGTCATCTTGAAACTGGCAAGGCACTCGTCCCGGGCGAGGAACCGGTTTGGCGGGAGGCGCGGGGGGGCATTCGCTTTGCGCCTACGGTGGTGCTAGCTAGTCTGGAAGAATCTTTGTGCGCTACGGCCGTACCGATGGGAGGTCGGTCGGTCGGAGGCTGGATTAGTCTAGAATATTCGATGGGACGTGGCGGCCGTGCCGGTTAGATGTCGGGAGTTACGTAAGAATCGTTACGTCGCATTACGACAGCCTCCTTTGTGTTGTCTTATTTCGTTGATATACGTGACAACGAGGCGTTCCTTGAGTTTGAGTGATTAATGCCATTAATTTGCGCCGACGCGTGGCTTGTGTCGTATTTTAATATCGTACGAAGGAATTTTGTTTTGTCGGGTTGAACGCTAAACTTTGTGATCCGGGTGGAGATCGCGTTCGATTATAGTTTGTGCTAAGTGACGTTAGACTTGAGTCTCGATAGCGGGGAACACCATCTGGAGTGATTGCACCTTGTGGAGCTGGACAACGCATGTGGTTCTGCATCATGATCCTTTCTACACCACTCACATATACCATTTACTTGCCCCTGACGGCACCTTGTGATCGACCCCACCTCCGGAACTAGGTAAGTTTGTGTTTGCTTATACAGCCGTTATAAATTAATTATCCATAAGCCATTGGGCCCTCCCCTCGGTTGTTCGTCGAGTTGGGTTACTATGGGCCCTAGCCCAGTCGACTTTTGTCGGGGCAACTGAGGGCCGTAACAATAAAACCGAAGGACATTTTGTTTGACGCGATAATCGTGAACTAAGGCGCCATAAAAGGCGATTACTGAAGTTTATTTATATTTTTATTACAGTTTACATCGGCATAGGTAAACCTCATATTCTGCCTAAATATTTAAAAGTGAAGGAAATTTTCTTTAGGGAATGCAAAAGAATAATAGACAAAGCGCCGGAGAGCTCGCGCCTCCACCTCCAGCCGCACGCCGCCGGCCCCACTCCCCGCCCCACCCATGCGTGTTTACCTTGTGTCGAGCGCGGCGTAGAGCCCTTGCGTGAGGCGCGGGCATAGCGCGCGTGTCTCCGCCTCCAGCCGCACGCCACCCACCCCGCCTGTGTGTGTGTACCTTGTGGTGCGGCGCGGCCACGAGCTCAGCATAGAGCGCTTGCATGAGGCGCGGGCATCACGCGCGCGTTTCCGCCTCCAGCCGCACGCAGCCCCCTCTGCTCCCCGCCCCACCTTTGTGTGTACCTTGTCGTGCGGTGCGGCCGCGAGCGCGGCGTAGAGCGCTTGCGTGAGGCGCGGTCGGCGCGCGCGTGCCTCCACCTCCAGCCGCACGCCGCCGGCCCCACTCCCCGCCCCACCCATGCGTGTTTACCTTGTGTCGAGCGCGGCGTAGAGCCCTTGCGTGAGGCGCGGGCATAGCGCGCGTGTCTCCGCCTCCAGCCGCACGACACCCACCCCGCCCGTGTGTGTGTACCTTGTGGTGCGGCGCGGCCACGAGCTCAGCATAGAGCGCTTGCATGAGGCGCGGGCATCACGCGCGCGTTTCCGCCTCCAGCCGCACGCAGCCCCCTCTGCTCCCCGCCCCACCTTTGTGTGTACCTTGTGGTGCGGTGCGGCCGCGAGCGCGGCGTATAGCGCTTGCGTGAGGCGCGGTCGGCGCGCGCGTGCCTCCACCTCCAGCCGCAGCGCTGCGCCCAGCGCGCCACACGCCCCACCACTCACCCCGCCCGTGCCACCCAGCACGCGCCGCACCCCGCGCGCCAGCACCTCGCTCTCTGCAAACAATATTCACATATGCAAACATGCGCGCACACTACAACGTACGCGTGTTTAGTGTCTACAAGTGTGTTGACAAACAACTGCGGTTGATTTCAAATACAATATTTCAAACTAACCGCAACAATAACTGTCTTCGTGTAATTCTTGAAGAAAACATTAAAACGGAATTACAAGCCAAACTTACTCACTGTTTGTTGGCAGTACAAAAAGTTTTTAAATTGACCTTCTAATAACATTATTTTTACATTTAGTACTAGCCACTCTGATCAAACCATAGAATACTATAATACACAATAGAATGGCTGTGAACCTTATTTTGTAGGAGGATTGGCGTCGCCGGGAGCACACATACAACCAATTACGTCGTATTATCAGTTATCACTACTACAAACACATTTTAGACTTTTGATTAATGTTTTTGACACATAAATATTTCTTTATTATTGTTTCTAATATTCACAAAATATAAATAGTTTTGACTGGTTACTGGTTGGTACTGGTCGTAGATTTTGTCTCCTTGATTTAAATTCTATTTTCCGCTGTTCTTTCGACATGTAATTATTGCACAATTTGCCATTTGTTAAATAATTTGCATGCAGCTACGCTTGACACGAAAATTGGAAACGATTGATTGTGTTGACATTTATAGGTGCGAATTGACATGTTAGTGGCTACACGGGCTCCGCACTCTCCCCCGTTCTATTATGTATGCATTATATGGATCAAACCACCGGGGTGAGTTGCGACAACCTTTCCTAAAAGCCATTTAGCTGGTGGTAATCTTTCATTCTTTACAAGTACAATATTTCCAATACCAATATTTTCTTGAACCCGTTTTTGACCCTTTTGTAAGCTAATCAAGTATTCTTGGCTCCATTTTTTCAAAAAAGATTGTTGCTTTTGTTGTAAATAAGTCCATCTGTGTAAATAAAGTACATTAACATTGTAATTTCTTATATTTACGCGAGCACTACACATTGGTTAAAACTACTTTTAGGGATTTTATCGCATTTATTTTATTTTTAATACCCGACGTTTCGGGTGCTTTCCAGTCCCCCGTGACCATGGGCACTGGAAAGCACCCGAAACGACGGGTATTAAAAATAAAATAAATAAACGCGATAAAATCCGTAAAAGTAGTTTTAATTAATACTTTAACATTGTGTAAATTTGGATAGGATACAATAAAGGATGCTTCGTCTATTAAAAATAGCCTGGAGTTAAAGCGTCAATAACACCGTATTAGAGCGATAACTGCTAGGTGTACGTAGGTGGAAGGAGGTGTACAAATAAAACGTAGTCCTGTAATAACACTCGCGATTTAATGTTCACGAATGTACGAGAGTCCCTACAACACCATCATTATCATCATTCAATGGCGTCAATGAACGAGAGTTCAAGCATAATTCAATTTGACATAGCAAATTAGAATATCCCTCTCTGCGTGTGTTAAGATATCTACTAGAATATTCCTCATAAGTTAATTTACTGTCATTTAATACACAGTTCAAATGGTACTTGTTGGTTTTGATGGCGGTTTCCCATAAGCCTCCCATATGGAGAGCTCCAGGAGGGTTGTACTGCCATTCAGTTCCATCATTTGACAATAAATCCGCTATTTCTGTACATAGATTTTAAAGCTCATTTGAGACATAGTTTGTAATTGTTTACTGGCGCCAATGAAGTTCGTGCCACAATAAGTTTAGAACAATAGCCTCTACGTGGGGTAAAACGTTTGAAAGCAGCTATAAAATCCTCTGTATTTAAGCTAGTAATTCTAAATGCACATCTTTAACTGAAGTACATAATATAAATAAGGCAATATAAGTCTTTTGTGTTTTATTTGAGCGATGCCCACTAAATAATTTAAGTGTTACGGGACCCACAAAATCAACTCTGCTTATAGTAAATGGTCTTTGCGGTGTTACTCAAGGCTTGGGTAAATTACCCGTCATTTGCTGATGGCTGAGTCCTGCATGCTTGCGACACAGAACACATGCATGTAATATTTGTTTGACTATATGTACGCATGTAATATTGTACATAATTTATAAATTTCTGTACAATCAGGTGGCCTTATCGCTAAGCAGTTATCTCTTCCATGCTAACCTTGGTAAAAAGATCATTTTCATCGACGGAAAAACGAAGGAGAATCTGAAATCGACGCGTTTATTTTTTTTTTGTTTATCCACGCATAACTTTTTACAGAGTAGTCCGATTTTGATAATTTTTTTAATGGATGGGATATACCTCGAAATTGGTCTCATATAAATCTGGAAAAAAAATTTTACCCTATGGGTGGGAAAATAAGGGTGATTTATTATAGAATAGTCCAATTACGATAATTATTTTTTTTATTGGATAGGAACATTTATTTTTGTTTTATAACTGTTTCGAAATTATTTCAAACAATAGTTTCAGAACGCACGACGACTCATTTCGTGTATGAAAGGACTTAGTATTCAAAGACTATAATTTTATTTACGTTTTTCTGAATAGTTGTTAATTTTAATTCAATTCAATTAGTATGTAGGCATCAAATCAACTACTATGCTGATTTATTAATTACTGGATTCTTGTCATAAAAATAATTATGTAGGTCAAAGTAAGCTAAACGTTTTGTTCAATCATCGTCATCACTTAAACCTTCAGCCCCCAAGCAGTCTCATGAGGTCGCACCCACCCACAGCACTTTAACCCATAAAAACTTACATATAGAGACTACTTTTCTACGAAGATGTTTGGTATTATATAATCAATATGAAATACTCTATCCTCTAGTGCAATAAAAAAACTGTTATCCTATGAATATTTATTTACAATCTACGTTTATTTCGTACGCCATTTTCGCGTGACTGTTATTGTGTTGATTTTTTTATTTTTATAGTGTTTCATTAGTGTTTTAGTATAGTGTTTTATTATAAAATTGTAAGGATAGAGTTTGTGTGAATATAATTTATCTTTTTACGTAAATACGGAAATAATTGTGATTTTCACGCTGCCGACATTCGCTTGGTATGTTTTATTTTTGTTATCAAAATACAATGGTCTTTTTGTAATGAACTAAACCTGACTTTTATATAAAGAATTTTGTATAGATTTTATAATGCCAAACTTCTTCATAGAAAAGTAGTCTCCAAATATAAGTTTTAATGGTTTTAAGTGCTGCGGGTGGGTGCCGTCACATGCGACCGCTCGGGATTTGTCGGGCGCATGCGACTGCATGAGAATTTTAAGGGGCCTGAGGGGTTAATCTGTGGTCATCGATCCTCGCCATTGATTGACATTTCCATCTGTTGTTTTGACCTCAGTATTGTTTTACGGTCTGATTTCAGGACACCGATTTTGTGACTGCGATTTTGATATTTGTGAGAGATATCATGCAGACTACACAACAAACACAACATGGCGTGCGATTGCTATATGTTAATTGTAACATATGCATTGATACACTTCGCCGCCATCTCGTTTTTAAGCTTCATACCGGAGTAATTTCTAAGATCTGCGAGTGGAATTCTTCAATAATAGTACGTATTTACATACCTATTTATTTTATTACACTAACATAAACCATCATCATAATACAACTCTAGCCAATCATACATCATAATACAATTCTAATTCTTATTTTACAATCACTGAAGAAAATTACGTATGTGATGCCTGTCAGCAATTGGCAATACAGCATGTCAACTCCGGGTTACCTATGAACCTGGTGCCTCATCTTCCCGTGGCCACAAGCATGTTTGCATACTTTGTGGAAGTTCTCTGAGGAACCGTAAACGTAACCTTATTGTGAGAGAGAATCCATCTCAGTTGCAACAAGTAATACATGTAAAGCGTGAAAATAGAATTGTCCCATGGCAGGTAATCATTACCTTTTTATTTTGTACATTTTTTTTTGTTTTGTTCGCCACCCGTCACGTTCTGTCTCCCGGAGAGGCGAAAAGTGGATTGCAGAGGCCCGTCTGGCTACGTTGAATGTATGTGGGGCAATGAATGATAAAATTGATGAAGTATGCGATATGATGTATGATAGAGGAATAGATGTGTTATGCGTAAATGAGACGAAAAGGAAGGGGAAGGATGTCACTACACATGGCATGTATACCGCATACTGGTCTGGTGTAGACGAGATCGAGCGGGCATGCCAGGGAGTAGGTATCATCCTTTCAGAAAGAATGGGCCAATGTGTGAAAGAGTATGAATGTGTAAGCCCAAGACTGCTATGGATACGAATGAAAGTGGGCTTAAAGAAGTTGTTTGTGTTAGGGGTCTACGCCTCAGACATGTCTAAGCCCACTTATATCCGAGAGCAGTTTTGGGAAATGGTAAGGATGGTGTTAATGAAGTGTAAGGGAAATCAAAATATTATTATGCTAGGAGATTTAATGGAAGGGTTGGGGTGAGGAGGCTTGGTTATGAAAGGATATTGGGAACGTTTGGTGATGAAAGTATAAATGAGAATGGTGAAAGTCTCCTCACCGTATGTATGGAAAAGAATCTTTTTTGTGACGAACACTTGCTTTCGCCACAAGAGGATTCATATGTATACTTGGGAAAGAGGTGACGATAGAAGCGTGATAGATTTCATAATTGTGGATGAAAGATTGAGGGGCGCAGTGGTGGATACAAGGGTTTACCGGGGTTCTAACGTAGGAACGGATCATTATTTGGTTTTATGCCGAATTAATGGTCTATTCAGGCGTTGGCGTCATCGGTCATCTGTGTCTACCACTGCGTTACAGCGTATTAGAACAGAAAGGTTGAAAGGTGAAGGTGAGAGAAACAAGTTCAAATGTAGACTGAGAGAAAATATTAGATGTTTGAATGAGTTGTGTATGAATGATTTAGACTTGAATACTGTGTGGGATAATATTAAGAAAGGTTTGGTGGATACCGCCACCGAAGTATGCGGTGTAAGTAAGAGAACAAATGAAAGGAAAAGTAATACGTTATGGTGGGATGATGAGGTACGGGTGGAAGTTGAATCAAA